GTTGGGATGACTCAAATTGTGCTTGTTGCTGCAGCAGAATGGCCTTGAGCTCGTCAGCCAAAATGGACATCTTGATTAGGGATCAACCCGTTGCCAGTTGAAGCGTTCGTCCCTCGCCTGAATGGACGCCTGATTCCCAAGCAAAACCCTAAGTCACTGGCCCTCACAGGACAGAGATATGACCGGATCGGACGAGCAGAGCAGCACGGATGTATTAGCGAACCACACCGTTCATTATAAATGGAAAGTTCGTGAATGGTATTCAAAGCGAACGTGGAAAGTTCTGGAAAGGCCGACTTACAGCCAATAAAGGAACCCCGCCCTCGCGTTAATTGGCTGCTTCTCCCGGTTGGTTCTCTGTTCGCCCCAATCAGGACGGATGAGTTTGGATCGCGTGCCGCGGCGATGGGGTCCTGGCTTGTTCGCATCGCGTATTCCTTCCTAACAGAACGAAATCAGGACGTCAATCTCATCATACGACCTGAAGTCTATTTTGTTTTAACAGCAGCAGCAATTTGAAGTCGCACAACTGCGAATGACTGAGATTCTCACCCGAAGATTATCTCTTCAGTTCTCACCCATCCAGAATAGTGGGAAGCCTTCAGCGAACGCAGTGATCAGCATTGTTAGTGAGTTCAGTTCTGGTCCTGATACTGTACTAATATTCGATGCTTAGTTCAGGCATTATGAAGATTTTTTCAGCACCGGGTTGTTAAGTCTCGATTATGCATCAAAAAGTTCGTCAGCTGTTGCGAAAACCGGGTATGGTCGAGCATGATAGATAGCTCAACTACATTTTGCCAAAGAACGCCTATGATTTCAGCTTCGATGACACAGTTGCCCGGCTCATATAAAAGCTTGGAGATCACTCGTCGTTTTAATAGTTGATACAACTGCTTGAAGCTTTGTAAGACAGTGACAGTTATACTGCTTAGGCAGTGACAGTAAAAGGTGAAGACCAGAAATGCAAGCTAAAGTCAATTGCCGAAGATCAGTTCGAGTGCCTGATAGTAGTGGGCAGTTTGCAGTCCAGAAAATATGCCGAAATTCAGACCAGAATAGTTGGGATGTTGGAACGCCACCTGGATGGCACATTACAGAACATCGTTTCCGAGGTCCAGAGGATCACAAACTTAAAGCACTACGCAGGTATGTTAGAGGATTCAAATGTGTGTTCTGGTGATATTACTATAAAGCAAAATTCCAGAAGCAACACCTCAGCAAATGAGCACAGGAGATGTCCCCAAGCTAAACCCCATCGGCTTGCTGGTAATGCAGGGGTTGGCATTTTGTGAGATGGTGCACCTTCAGCAAGCAAGTCTGCTGGAAGTGCCACAGATGTGGACAGAAGGAGATCCACGACAGATCCAAAGTATCGTTCAGGCCAGCATACACTGCCCGAAGACAAAGCCGCGGAAAGTCTACGAGAAGGGCAAACGTCAACTTCACGGATGTTAAGGATAAGAGGAAGTTTGTCACTATCAGCATCGACGGAGATTGGCATGTTTATAAATTGGAACGGCATCCGACAACACTGCCATTTCGGAAAACCAGTGGACGACTTGGTGCACAAGACATTAAACTGACCGGTCAACAAGCAAATCAGGCACCAAGTTGGATTTGATCGATTAGATTGAGTGTGTGCCGCTTTGCTGAAGTCACCGTTGGGGAAAATATTTCCTCACAAGCCACAAACTTGAACCTCCTTGGGCTAGAATGGATCGAGCGCTTCAAGCTTCTGGATGTTCTCATCAACCAGATTTCTACCAGCGCTCAGCTACACAAGCCGAAGAAACTCAGAAATGAAGAACTAGCTTCCTGACCGTTGGCAACAAAGCCGTGGGAAAGAGTTCAAGCTGATTTATTTGGTCCTGTGAATGGTCGAAAGTATCTGGTCGTTGTTGACTACTTCAGCAAGTGGCCCGAGGTCTTGTACATGGAGCGTACGAAAAGCGGTGTAACAATCAACGTTTTAAGAAGAGTTTGCTGCCATCAAGGCATTCCTGAAACCCTAATCACCGACAAGGGTTCTCAGGTCAATTATACAAAGTTTGACGTTTTGCACACAGAATGGCATCACACATCTGCGCCCACTGCCGTTTCACCCGCAGTCAAATGGACAAGCAGAACGCTTCGTTGACACGTTTAAGCGATCGCTACTAAAAATGTAGGGGGAAGGAAGTATGCAAGAGATAGTGGACGCATTTTTACTTGAACATCCAGGTGCCAAAGCAATTGTCGCCAGCAGAGGCATTCATGGGAAGAAAGCTTCATACTGTGAATCGCTTGCTGCTCCCGAGACGTATTATCCGGCAAGAAAGGAACCCGCAAATGGCAAAGTACTACAATGAGCGACACAAAACTCAAGCACACCAAAATTCTCCAGGTCAACGTGTTTTGATCAGAGACTATCGCGTTGGAAGTCCACAGTGGGTGATGGGATCGATCCGGAGAACACTTGGTCGGGTACTTTATGACATCAGAGTGGGTACTTTGATTTGGACCAGGCGTACTAATCAGCTGCAACCAACTAGTCCCCCGGAAAGCACCAGTAATCGACTACTATACCTAGATATTTTACAGGACAGTTTTGATATGGCATCGAATATCCAGAGAGCTTCGGATGCACATCGCACAGAAATTCCAGAAGAACCGAAAATGAAACCACAGCGCCGGAGTGATCGAGTACGGAGATCCGTCATCAGAATGCTGCTGGATCCAAGAAGAAAGTCGTGTGTTAATTTCCGCTTTATAAGTGTAAAGGGAGGAGGCACCGCTTTGCTAGCAGTCCGGAACAGTTGACCATGACGCAGGCTGAAGCTCATTGGCCAACCAATGAGAGCGGGCTAATTAGGAAGCTTCACTTTGAACGCTGCCAATGAGGATGGTCTACCTACCTTGAAGCCCACCAGTGAGCACTGGGCCATTCTCTTACTAACTATTGATTCGACCCCATGATTTGATTTGTTTACACCGCTTGCCGGGTGCTCAACACAGTTTTCGCCTGAGGCCTTTGTCTTCTAATCTGGAAAGTCGACCGGGTAGCTTACGCGATAGCAGCAGGTTATCCGTACAATCAGCGGAAACCGCAACAATTAATCGATGCTAAGAACACAATTTCCATCACATTAGCATCATAATGCTTCTGGCAGCATTGTCTTCTGTCTTTAGAGCATGAGTCTTGACAATGTGTAGTCAGCGGTTGTAAGATGATACCACCGCACATATCGACTGTGCCTGCATCTCGTCTAAATAACGACTCCATCTGTAGTGCGAAAAACCAGATATTCAGACCCCAAGTATGTCAGAACTCGGTTGTCCTTCCTACTTATTGAATACTCCGTGGACCACAGTACAACAAGAAATAGCAATGTGTTTTGCAAATAACTTTGGCGCTTCGCGTATTCAAGCCAACCGTTTACATACAACTCGTGGGATAATTCGTTTACACATGGAGACAGGCAAAGTGCAGCGTGATTGGCCAAACACTGGCGAACAAACGCTATTTGATGCCGACCAGCGGAACGTGGTCGCCAACCTCGTCAACGCAAGGCAAGGCCGGCCACAAACTCGGCCTATTTGGACAAAGTGAGTTTCAATCGCCGATTCGCTGAGGCTTCGGCAAACTGCAGTAGGTGAGCGATACTGCGTCTGCTAGGTATGGTACATAGCGCAAGGTAGTACTTGCCGAGCGATCGAAATAATGAATGGCCTGGATGTCGTTGTGACATTGTGTGGATGCAAAGTATTTCCGCAGCTAATGGAGGAGAAGGTCAAAACTGGCGTCTTGTTGGTACTGTCAGTTGTGACGAATTTGTGTAAGCGCTGAAGTGTCTACTTAAAGTAGACAATTTTCGATGAGCGAATATGTTTGTGGGCTTTTTGCGGATCATCGAATTCGAAGGGATGTCAGGCCCCGCGGATCCAGTGCCTTATAAGTTCAACGTCGTCGAGCGGCTCTGGCCGTGAACTTCACTCACATCTACTGCTCTAACGTATTGCACGTGTATGAGGTCGCTGACCATATTGTCGGGTGTCATTCCGGTACGGTGTGACCACTTTTTTGATCAATACACTGTCTAGTTATTGTTCCGACGACACTAGCAGCCAACAACTGCGATTATAACAATAATCTTTCTTTCCCCTTATCTCGCTGGTTTACGAGTTCGCATTTTTCCTCTTCAGGTTAAACTTTCTCCAATTATTATGGCGATGCGGATCACGGTAACTGCAACAGGTGGCTGAAGTATTTGCGACACAACGGAAACGCCATATCGTACTGCAAATTGGAGTTGTTATACTGATGGACAGATAGTGAGCGACCCAAAGCAAATGCATAGCAATGATCCAATGGTTGGATAAATGCTGGAATTTCGAGGGGTTGTATGTTGTACTGCAAAGTAAATAGCCGATAGACACAGATAGAAAGTTGTCACACAACAGTACGCCGGGTGCTTCATCAGACGGTTCGCTACCACGAAAATACCGGCGGCTGCATAAGCACTAGGGGCGTTACGAGGTCACCTGAAAGCTGGCCAGTTGGATACACATTAGACGTCTGAACAACTATTCTACAATTTCTGATGTACGAACGAAGCTTCCAAGTTATAAGTTATACTCCTTCATCCTCCATTTGGCATATGGAGGGCACACTGCTCAAGTGGCGGTTGCTAACACAATCACTTCCACCATTACGAGAAGATCTAAAAAGCAGTCGGCGCAAATCATTGTGGTACTACTAATGTGATGTCATCTGTCTCCAAAATACTCGTATGGATCACATATTGCGATCATGTGGATATGGACTGATTATTCGATGTACAGCTTTGGGGAAAGAAATTGACGAAGACTTGCTCAGTGTATCATAAATAGAGAAGATCCAGGTATCAGTTTATACAGCACAACAGGTAGACATTACGATGGTGTGTTATTTTATCTGTAGGTACACCTACATAAAATGTGTACTAGCCAAAGAAGGAGATGAAATATGCATCACTCACCGTTTGTCGTAACTTTGTTTTCCGCTTCTCTCGGTCTATGAGAAGCGTCTCCCCTCGCCTTGGATTTTTGCTTTGCCGATCCCGCACCTGTAGGTATTGGAAAAGCTGCATCGAGCAAAGTCATGAGCTGATCCCACGGAGGCAATGTGTGTGAAAGGCGTCTAATAAGGTCTGTGGTGCCAGACGAGAGAAGTGACTCCACGGCCAGCTTTAAGTCCGCCGGATGCAGAATTTCTTGTTCAAACGCAGCCTGCAAAGCTTCCCATCGAGACGCAGCATCTGCGACTCCATTAGGAGACTCGATGTAAAGCGGACCGCCGTTTTTCTCCGACCGTGGAATAATAAGAGGAGCTTGTGGGATGAGACATAAGTGTAAAAAGGTGGATGTATGAAGCAAAAAAAGTGGTCATTAACAAAATTATGAAGCTGACAGTGAGTGTTGACACCTAACTGTTCAGGAAGCAATGCGACACAACTCGGTCAATGGAAGGGACGTCGAGACGGCCAAACACACAAAGTGCGTTTTACGGTTTCTCGGATCTAACCACTAGTTTGGAAAAGAATGGTTAATGGCAGAAATCACGACTTATGATTTTAGGATAGCGGACAAGCAGTTAGTAGTGGGATGCACAACGGCGCGATATGCTCACATCTGCCTCATCCACTAAGCCAATCAAGATAACGACGAGGGCAGGTGAAGGACGTAGATAACTGGAGCAGGAGGGTGGTTTTCATTGTCATCAACAATTCGCTTCGAATTTTCAACAAGTTATAAAAACAGCACAGCAACATGGGGATGTGGCCGGTGAGGTTAAGACGGGATGCCATCGAAAACTATACGGGATATGGGATAGAAGAGCAAATCGTGGATAAAACACTGATCCCCGCAGACACAATGTCATGTTGGATGTGAACCAGGAGATCGATTGCAGCAGCTGTTGGAAGCATCTCACGGCGAGCCCTATGTGTTGAACACCATTATCTTTGCAAACGCTCCGAGAGCCTTGGTAGAATAACTCCAGTGCAATTTCGAAGGTAACTGGAAACCCGTCAGACCGCGTGCGGTTCGAACCAGAGCGCACGAACCGACCGGCTACCGGTAGGACACAGATATACGGGTAGGTTCAACTCAGTGATTCCAAATTAAATCGAAAACCGAGATAAAACACTATCAAAGGTCGACCTAAGACGACACCAAAATTATGAGCAAGGCAACGACAGTTTAGAAAACCACCGAAAATGTCCACCCAAATGCCCATCTGTTCGCCGTGCACGCACCAAGAGTCGAGCATGGCAGACAGGAAAATGGTTACAGCAACAGACGAGTTTTGGCAGTGTTGGGGAAACCAGGGAAAAACCCTGCGCCCAACATGCAGATAGTAGTGGCAAGAGCCAGGGTTGCGGTGACGAGCGGGATATCATAAACTGTAGAAACTATCCCCGTCCGATTGGAATCTTCCTAGCGCCCATCGTTGGGTGGAAAATATGCAGATGAGCATATAGGACGTAACGATGTCCAACGGTGACGCACCACATGCATAAGGTTTTTCCCAGAAGATCAATTATGACACCCAATCACCAGGTCTAGCAGTTAGGGATCCGTCGAAGGATTTCTCCAGTAGCTGATGACCTAATTTCGAGCTGTCAATACTGAGATTAGAGAAGCGGAGCTAAAATAAGACGAGTGGATACAGATAGAAAGGATACTTTTTCCGTTGCCATAATTTAAGCAAGGAGATCTGGTAAAGTCATGATCAAGGAAGTAACTTACAATCTATAGGTAATTGGGGTAGTATGACCGACCGATACACTTCGAGCACAGGATTGATTGACACGTTGCCGGGCTGACAGAAGGCTCGTTTGAGTCGGCGTTTCAGACTAGCGAGGGCTGTTTTTTCCATCCCAGGTAATGGCGGCTCCACGACGGGTAATGTACAATCTTCTGCTAGATTGGCCAAGGCAAGAGTGGCTGCGGGACCTTGACAACGAGAAGCAGGAGGACACGTACGCATCGGACGGAAGAAGGGCTGTGATTTAGGACCGTCCGGCTCACCACCACCGGGTGCATTGGTGTCTACTTGCAAACTCGGAAGAAGAGGATGACTCAGATGCACGGTGGCAGGGCACGTGGTGAGCATGGAAATAAACTGGCAATAAAAAACATAAGCGATTCACGTATGGTAGCCATCAAAATCACGCTCGGAAAGTGAGATGTGAACGAGGATACTAGAACGGAGGAGCGGAAGTAGCTTGTAGGAGGCATGCAGTGAGACCTAGTGCCAAAATTAAGGCAGAACTAAGAATAGGAATTCCACACTTGCAGCGATACGTCACACCATAATCCCACCTACACTGGCCGTCACACATCCGGCTACGATGAATCAGCCCTAACGCACATCAAGAATCCTTGAGCAAAAAGAAACAAATAGTACTGAGCGTCATTTTGAAGTACAAGTTGTGTGGGTGGATTGCGACGCGCAATCTCAATGGGGACCGCGATTCCCAGTGAGGTGAACCTTGGTCTTTCGATCACGAGGACGGCAACTGAAGGAGATAGAAATCGTATCTCAGTAACCGTGTCCTATATCTGGTTCGTACATACCAGGTACAAACACATGATGTGCGGAGCAGCGAAGACAATGTAAGCAAGGGAAGAGACAGCGCATCAACCACAGAGTACGCGCATAGTGAATTTCAGTTAAGTTTATACTTCACTGGATTCGTGCTAACGAGGTGCGGTGGATGCCGTTGCCTTAGCATACATCGCCAACATAATAGTAAAAATGATAACAAGCCAAGAGTAACGAACAAGAAAAAAGCAAGTGTAAGAGTCAAGAGCCCGAGGTGAAGGAACGAATCCAAGAGCGTCATGGGCCCTGTTAAATGGGGCGACTTCCCAAGCCGTTACAAATATATTCCATGATAGTGAACGCAAATCGTTTTATGGGTTGCTTTAGTCACTGAGATCACTTAACAAACAAAGAGCGATTGTTCCCCACCCATAGGGGAACATATCCCGTCTGTCGGGAAATATACCCATTTGTTTATTTTAGTAAAGTTAGATTAGGAAACAGTTCATTGAGCAAGGGAACAGAACCGACTCACACGCTGTTCAAAGACGCGGCGCTTTTGCGATCGCTCTTGACTGGCCACACGGACATGCGCACCGAGATAGATAGTGTCCACTAAATCGTTACAAGGTAGTATAAGTTGTCCCAGAGAAACACGGCCTGCACCAGCTTGCGTGCCAAGTTTAGATTCCACTGGGGCTCCATTCGCGTCCGCAGCGGCATCTATACCAGAAGAATCACTGGCCGCAATGCAATCGGATTCGGGGACAAGGCTGACTAGGCGGTAGAAATCCAGCATGTAGTCACTGCAGGAGAAAGAAAGCAGAGTATAGAGCAGAAATAAAGAGTAAATTAATGGGACGATGCAGACTCTGAACGTATTTGCCGAGGTGCTCGAATCGCCTCGGATACAAAACGGTCATGTGCGAACACTCCGGCCCCACAATACCCAACAATGATGCAACCCGATAACAATAATAACATCAGCACGTTACACTTGCAATTGAGTGCTATGTATTCGTAAGTCATGGCTGCTGAAGTGTCCACATATGAGCAGAACGACAGTGGTCTTAGTTTAAAGTAGCTGCATCCAATCCCAAAATCTGGAGAATCAGGAGTGAGTTTGTAAGACCTATAATTATCAGGAAAGATACACTTGGAGAAACGAAGAAACAAGTAGCATAGCACAGCACTGCGTCCCGCAGTCAGAGGCCGCAGGGTGACGGTAATTGTGGCAATGAATAACCAAGGGATCCTCCACTCCAAAATGATCAGAGGTGGCACCTGAAGTGGTGCTAACTTCTCCAGAGTGGAGAGTGGATATGAGTGAGTGAGTGAGTGGAGATGTGCGGCGCATGGCTCACCATGGACAACGCGCGCATTCACATGTCAGATGACCTACGGAGGATCCTGCGCTCCACTCATCAACTGAAGTTCCTGTTGTCCTACTAGTACATGCAGAATCTTGTGGAGCATGTGTTTTCGAAGGTGAAACCGTCGGCGAGACTCCTGATGACGAACCCGACACATAATCAGTCGCTAATTGTGATCATACAATAGAGCCTTGAGATGGTTATCGAGTAGGACTGCAGTAATTGCGTCCATAACATGATGCTGAACTTGACAAGAGCAGCATCCGGGCAGCTGTACATCAACTGACTACCTCTATAACTTAAACGATTTCTTTCTTGTCAATACCCATCGTAACGAGACTGGACTTTAACGTGGTGCGATGGTTTGTGTACTCCTGTGACGCACTCAGCTATGCTGAGTGGCACTTTCAAGTGACTTCAGAGCCACTCATAGTAGAAAGGTCAATGGATAGGGGTCAGACTAACTCAGTCTCACAATTGCCCCGTTGCCTTATGGGCAGGCTATTTAGCCTAATGCTCGAGGTGGAGTCCCCTAACTCTACTTCGACTTGGGCAACCGGGTAGTACCACGCCCACTGACAAAACCATGGAGTGTGCAACTGCAACATCGCTCTCAGCTGCTTTTGCTTCTACTACTCACTCACCTTCACACGTTACCAATCAGTATTATTCGTTGCCAACTGGTTCCTGTTCCCATGATTCTACTCCGGATGATTTCGTGGACACCCAGAGAGCTCGATCAGTCACACTCCTTCGGCCTTCGTCTTCGTTCCGTCTGGCATGCTTCAATGTACGTGCACTCATGCAGATCGGGCAGCAAGCTGGTCTTTCGCGCACCCTGGAATCCCTCGCCATCGATGTTTGCTATCTTTCCGAAACGCGCTTACAGGATCCCTGTACTGTGATTGAGTTGAGATCTCTCATAGACTATGAAGCCATATTTCACCTACGTCTATCTGGTGACGCAGAAGCAGCCGCGGCAGGCTTGGCTGGCGTTGGTGTAGCGCTAAGTAGCAAAGCCGAGGCAGCACCGCTGGAATGGTACCCGATTCATAGTCGACTATGTGCAGTTCGGCTTCCGGGATCATGCAAGATAGACCGATGTCGTGAGAAGGGACGCAACTTGTTAATGATCTCAGCTTACGCTCTAACTGACTGCAGTTCCGACTCTGTCAAGGACGATTTCTACCGTGCACTTCAGCTCTTGAGCAGAGCCTAAAAATCCGACATTCTTGTCCTTGCTGGGGATCTCAACGCACTGGTTGGTCGTCTGCTGGCATGCGAAAATCACCTCGGTGGTCACCATGGGCTCAATGAGAGACATCCAGATAATGGAGAGACTTCTCACACTGTGCGAAGATAATCATCATTTTCTCTCGAGCACCAACTTTCGGCATTCGAGAAGAAGTTCCGCTACTTGGCGATCCCTCTGCTGCGTTTCAATCATGGTCTCAGATTGATCATATCGCAATCAGTTTCAGATGGAGGGGTAGTGTAAAAGATTGCAGATCCATCTGGTCCACTTTTCTTGACACAGACCATGCTCTTGTCTGTGCGAACATCTGCATGAGTTTCGGAGAGACCCCGAAAATAAACGATCTACTGGTTCGGTTCGGCCGAGTTACCACGCTTCCCTGGCTGGTGCACTCGGCTGCGACCCACCGCAAGATATTGATGAACACTGGGCGTGCATGCAGAGGACGATGATCACTTCCGGACAGCAAGTTTGTGGTCCACTTCAGCACCCTATGAGAGCCTGGATCTCCACGTGCCCTTTGGATTTATTTGACCGCCGCAAGAATAACTCAGCGGAGTCTAATCATGACGAAATGCGCCGTTCTGTCAGTCGGCAGCTCAAACGAAGCCTACGCAGTGACCGTGAAGCCTGATGGTCCCAGCGTTCTTCGGAAATGGAGGCTGCTGCCCTCTCTGACAATACTCGCACTCTTTCAGCTCATTCGATCTGCCGGTCATAAAAATGCCTGGTGTCAGTAAGACTATATGCGAAGCGTATGGTTCGCCGGTTGCCAATTTACTGAGACGCTTGGACCGATGGGCCGAATATTTTCATTCTCAGTTCAAATGGCCCACAGCGTCCACCTATATCTCCTGCGAACCCAGCTACTCACCCTGGGTCGTCACACTTGATCTACCCAGCGAAGCGGAAGTATGTCTTGCGATTCGGCATCTAAGACAATTCAAGGCTACCGGCTCAGACGGACTGAGCTGTTCAAGAATGGAGGCTCAGTTATCAGTAGCCACCTAACCTGATTGTTCTCCAAAATCTGGCATGAAGAAAAGGTACCTTCTATTTAAGGTTAGTCAGTTATTGTCCCGATTTTTAAGATGGGTGCTCGCACTTCGTGTACCATTCACCAGGGGATTAGTCTCATTTCCTTTGCCTGCAAGCTTTTGGCATCCATTCTACTTAATCTCCCATTCGCGAATCGCAGTACCGGGAAGAACAAGCTGGCTTCCGATCTGGCCGTGGGTTTGTGGATCAGATATTCACACTCCTTCAAATTTTGGAACACCACCACCTTTACCGGAGGCCTATCATCGTTGCATTCTTAGACATCCGTGCCGCATTCGACTCGGTTGATCGACCTGCACTATGGCGTTGTTTGCTAAGTAACGGTGTCCCAGAAAAGTACCCTAGCATCCTACGCGAACTGTATTTCCACATCTCTGGCAGAGTGAGGGTGCATAGCAGGTTTTCGTCGCCCTTCGCTGTTGACAGCGGTGTACGACGAGACTGCCCTATGTTCCCGGTCCTCTTAATTTTGCGATTGAAGACATCTTTTCGAGGGTTCTAGACGGTTGCTAAAATTTTGGTATACAGCTATTACCGGGCAAGCGAGCAACCGACTTAGATTATGCCGATGATATCGCCTTACTTGGTGAGGACTCACAGAGCATGCAAACCATTCTAGACCGCTTGGCGATTGAGGCATCTAGGTACGGAATGTGCTTTGCCCCGTCAAAGTGTAAAGTGCTGCTTCAGGATTGGCACTCAACTGTTCCTGTGCTCAATATTGAAGGTACACAGCTTGAACAAGTGGATAGCTTTGTCTACCTTGGCAGCTGTGTGTCTGCTGGTGATACCATTAGAAGGGAAGTTTCTCTTCTCATCGCCAAAGCTCGGTCAGCATGTCAACTCGAAGCACTTGTGGCGTCGCCGGGATATCTCCCTCGTGGTAAACGGTTGTGTTTACATTTCCACCGTTCTGGCGGTGTTGCTATATGGCCAGTTCGCGCAGACGATATGCGAAGGCTCTCGGCGTTCGACAACGAGTGCTTGAGGAGGATTGCTCCTGTGTGGTGGTAACAACACATCTGTGACGATGAAGTCAGACGTCGAGCCTTAGGGCATGCGAGTATTCTCTTCAGCAATCTGGTTTTGCTGCGCCAGTTATGATGGCTCGGTCACGTCCTGCGTATGTTAGCTGAGCGTTTGCCATATCGCGCTCCGTTTACTCGTGCAGGATTCAACTAGTAGAGAGCACGCGGTGGTCCACCGTCCACCTGGCGACAACAAATGAAATTGTTGACTTCACGTCTTGTCACCATTGAATCCACACGTTTGCTTGGTTGGGGACCAAAGGACGAGGAGTGTCGATAGCTGGAAACAATTTAGGCTACTGTTCGTAATCGAAACCAGTGGAGGATCTGTGTATATAACTGGTTAGATTTGGCTACTTAATGCTTAACGATTAAAAAAGACAAAAATTAAAAAATGGTGTGTGCAAAATAAAAATGCTCCGTTTTCTAATATTGAGGCACAATAGCTGAAGTGTGTTGCTCACCTTCAGTTAATGTGCCATGATGCTGATACGGTGTTCAATCTGTCTTCTTTTAGTAATCTCCATGGTTATGTTTGACTCTATGTCTATTTGATAGCCTGGCTACTATACTACTAACTAGTACTACTAATATCACTACTATTACGGCTATTACTACTACTTTTCAGTATATTGTTTTCGTTTTATAGCGCTCGATTTTCTATCCAAACTGCCAGGTCGTTTATCGAGTAGTAGTGAGCACAATCAAGCGGACTTGAGATTGTCGTGAAACTTTTGTACCTCCAGCTCGTAGTGGCACTTCTTCGGCGTTACCTCAGAAGGTTGGTGCCCATAGACACGGATAGGTGGATCCCGTTCTCTCTCAGCTGCTGCTGCTGCAGCTGCACCAAAGCATCTTGCGAATGCCGTTCGGCGGTCTACCCAACGCGCTACATAACATTGGGAATTCGCTTCTCCCTGTTGTTGCTTCCATGTTTGCGCTGAGGAATGGAACTCTCTTGCGTGTAGGCAGTGATGATATATATTTCGTTGGTGCCCTGCTCTCGTTGATATCGACGAATTCAGCAGTCTCGTGGGTGGTCTTGCTGTCAATGAAAACAAGCTTGGTGAGAATGTCGTTCTGTGCTTATAACCTTCGCCGCCTCGTACCTGCGCTCTCTCATCTGCCGTCGCTTATCTTGGTCGTTTCATGCAGCACAAGGCGTTTGCTGCAGTAGCCGTGCAGCTGCGTTGGTCCGCCCACACATCCACACAAAATACGAGGAGGCCACTACAGGGACAGGGGAAAACTTTGATGGAGGTGACACTCCGGATCAAGAGAGGGGCTCGCACAATCATCCGCTGCTTGCACAGTTCGGTTGCATTATCATGACCAAAATGTGCTCTGAACATCGCCCAATCGCCTTACTTCTCAGTTCTTGCTAAAATGTTAATGATTTTCTGATAAGCATAATGTGCAAAATTTATTTTGCGATACGTCCAATTTGCTTTACAAAACGTCCGATTTGTTTTGCAAAACGTCTGATGCGTTTTGCAAAATGCCCAAAGTGGTTTGCAAAACGTCCGATTTAAAGTGAAAATGGTATAGCATTATTTTTAGCCATCCTCTGTTCCAGTGGGTTAGGAAATCAGGGAATAGCAGGGTACCACTGAAAGGATCTAGCTCCATAATGAAGTTTGTGTTACTGTTAGTATAGTTCAGAAAGTTTAGAAAATCATGCTTCTTATCCTGCTTACTGATCACGAAGTCTAATCAACGTAACGCCACCAAATATTTGACGAAGTACTAGAGTTCGCTAGTACACTATTTTAAAACGCTTCTACGTACGGATATGCCACTAAGAGGGATAGCGGTAAGTCCCCTTTACTGAGCGTACAGCCAACACTGAAACGTAAAACAGGACATACTAAGGCATGTGTTTATTCTTTTGTATAGTTGGTCTACTGTTTGCCACCTTGACGTAGCACCGGATCTGTTGCAATAATCTGATTTTGGATGAGGTGCGAAATGCGTGACAAGACGACAGCGAACGGAAAAATGGAGCCGGGCGAAATTACACGGACAGCGTATTTGGAGTCCAAAGGTGAGGATATCACACTGAGAGGCATAGAGGTGACCTGATTAAAGAGCTCACCCTGCCAGTTGGAAGTCTGTCCCAAGTAGGCACGTCATTTGCGCTGATCGACCACCAAGGGCGTTAAACATGGCAGTGACGACCACACGGCAAAATTCCCCACGCGGTTGAACGAGGTCCCAGGGTGATGTACCGCGCAAATGCGCAGCTATGTTGTTCACTAAGATAATTATCTGAACAAATGGTGAAAGTGGAAGGTAGAAACGAAAACCCAATGTGAGAGCGACGCAAATATGGGCATATAGAAAACAGCTGATAAACGTTATGGTAAGGTGGATCAGGTCCTGAACACCCAAAATCCGCTGTATCAATCGACAGAGTAATTTACTAGAGGGACTCGCTTTGTTTAAGCAGCGAGGAGTGGAGTCCAGTCGTCGAACACAAGAGTGGGCATGCTTCAATTATGAGCAACCAATGGACGGGACAGTAAAATTACGGCTAGGATAGTGGGAGTTCTCAACGAAGCACGCAAGCCGTGGTCAATCAATCATCTGCCCCAAAGGTCAGAAGAAGCTAAGGCCAAGGTCGGAGCCAGCTAACGCCCAAAGGGCAGATTGAAACATGTCGGAAAGGCTAGTGTTGATTTTTAATCAACACACATGATCGATCGAGCTATAACTGGAGCGGTTTGTTTCAGTATAATTCAACACGTCTGGTTCACATGGTTGGTCTCCAATAGACTCCATCTGTCGCGTACTCGCCTTGTTTGTTCTTCTTTACTGGTGGGTGTGGCGTGCTCTAGCAGCCCGACACAACAGTCATATAGAATTTGTAAACCGAAAAACAGTACGCGAAAGAATATGCCAAGAAGTGGATGCGGTATTCCGATGCAACAGCTTACATGTACTCCATCGAGTTGAGAAAGTCGTGCCAATTTTCGTAGAGGAATACTATGGCCCAAATGGATCAACCCAGATGGGGTGACGCTCCACATGCACCGCACATGTGTGGCGTGTGACAATCGAGAGGACACGGCAGCGCGATAACCCTGTGAAGGTAAATCAAACAGATTGGCAGCGCAAAAGGAGGAACGATAAGTCAAAACAAAAATAAACGTACCCAATGGATATGCTCAGCAACAGCAAAAAAACAATGGGAAGAAGAGTAAAACAGTTAGAGACATACGGGGAATTCATCTTCGAATGTTGACAGCAAAGTGCTCAGGTCACGAACGGGTGGGATACTCCGCTCCAGTTCTGCCAATCTGCGCGGCACGCCAGATGCGACATCTTCCATGTTAATCGGAAAGGCATCCCCCGCTGCATATGTGTGAAGTAAAACGCATGAAAGTGTGCTTAAACAAACGACAGATTGCTGAAAAATCTTTTGTCGCAGCATGATTATTCGAGAATGATAATGAAAATGAAGAGTCTGATAGCATCGCGAGAATGACAGCGGAATGGTGACAACCCTCACCAGAGGGAGGTTGATGAAGAAGAGTGCAGTTAAGGCAAACAGTGTTCAAGCACTACTGTGGCTGTGAAGACATGAGTTCGAAAAGGTTGCACGATGCATTCGGCTGCCCGAACATGCTCGTCCGGGTAGTTCAGTAGGGAGGACGTCACCAAGAGAGTTGTTCAGTTCAGGAGACCAACGGTGACTCGAACAATGCGGCTCAATGGATGTAGACAAAAGGACTTGGGAGTTGTGATTAGTAAAAACCAACAACGATATGCCCAAGTGTGTCCAATTAGTCGATCGAGCGATAACAGATACAGGACAAAAAGATAGGAAGACCAGTGACAGCGAACGAAAACACGGATGGAGAGCGAAGTACACAGTGGAGTCTGGAGAAAAACGGCAACGATGTTTTTTTACACCAAAAGAGTAGTAGGGTGGGCGGAAAGTCACCGTAATCGTAGTGAAAACCTACAACACGTTGTCACAGCCCAAACGAGTGCACGCCTGACATCCTTTAGAAATAAAGCTCGTTGGTCATCAGATCATGAAAATATTATGTACTGCGCAGAAATTGTGAACCATTAAGATTTAGACAGCGGGGTGCGATTTCAAGGTTTAGAGAGAAATCTCGGTTGCAGAATAAACCAAATGTAAGTGACAAATACCGGAAGAAGCAATGCAAAGAGTGGGTTTCCAAATAAAATGAGGGTAAAAGCCACCAGCAGAAAGTGAAAGGTACATTAAAATATATAAAAAGTAATGGTGCATGACGACATCGGTATTACCGGAGCCAGTGCATAGCAGCCATCGAAGACAGCTCTCACTCTATCTCTCGGAAGCAGCCCGGAGAAGATTGGTCGTGCGCTGCCTGTAGCTGATTGGCTAGCCAATGAAAGTAAGTCCATGGAATCTTTATACCTTGAAGTGGACCAATTAGAATGACCTATCTTGAAGCCCTCCAGAGTGGCTGCATCGGTCATCCGTACGGTCAGCGGAAACATAACAGATGTTGGCGACAGGAGCAGTTATTCCAGATGTCAATCTCGGCAAAAGATCTGAAAGCTATTTCGCTTCAACAGCGACAACAATTCGACGCGGCACAGGTGCGTATGATCGAGACTTTTAATCGAACACTATCGCTCCAGTTTACATCAGTCCACAATGCTGAAAAGCCTTCAGTTGATGCAATAATCAACAGTGTCAGTGAGTGCTTTTCATCCCGCTTCAGGACTGATTTTCGATGCATGGTTCAGAAGTTACAAAGATATTTTCAAGACGGAGCTGGCAAATCTAGATGAGGCATGGTTACTGGTACGTAAACTCGAAACTGTGGAGCACGACAGATACATCAATTACATTTTGCCCAAACGTGCTCCAGATTTCAGCTTTGGTGAAACAAATTCCCGACCTACGGAGTTGTTCGGCGATCAGGCATCGCATTACAACAATCGGTGCAATTGCCTGAAGCTGTGCACTAGGGACATCAACAGTCTCACTACCCATGCAGTGCCAGAAAATCAAGCTAAAATAACTTAAAGAAGACCAAATTGAGTGTCTGATACTAGTATGCAACCTGCAATCTGCCAAGGATGCCGAGATTCGAAACAGAATACTCGGGTTGCTGGAGCGAGACCAGGATGTCACACTGCAAGCTGTCAGTGCAGAGGCCCAGAGAATCACCAAGTTAAAACACGGTAAAGCTATAGTCGATGATACGAAGGTGCATTCCAATAATTTCGCAGTTCACCAGATTTCGAGGAACAAATTTCCGGCCACTGACCACAAGAAGACCCCTCAAGGCAAAGCACCATCAGCATGTTGACAATGCGGAGAGTGGCTTTTTGTTAGATGGTGTCCAATCAACAAGCATATCTGCCAGAAATGTCGAAGACGTGGGCACAGAGAAACTCATCGCAGATCCAAGCCATACTTCAGACTGGTTCATGATACACGAAAGAAAACTTACGGTCGGTTCGCGAAGAGAGTGAACGCCTATTCTACTACTGATGCGAGAGATCGTAGAAAGTACATCAACATCAACATCAATGGAAGACAGGCGCGTTTGCACATCAATACTGCCTCAAACATTACGGTCACATCAGAAAGGCTGTGGAGATTTATCGGGTCACCAGAAATAAAACCTATCAGTCAACAGGCGAAAAGTGCATCAGGTGCCGAGTTGTAATTGATTGTTCAAGTCCAATGTGAGTGTCGTTATGCCAACTTTACCGCATGGGGAACGATTTTCGTCACGAGCCACCATAATTTGAATCTTCTTGGTCTGCACTGGATCGAGCGTTTTAACCTACTTGAGGTTCCGATCAAGCAGATTTGTGCAAGTGCCCAAATACAAACAGCTCATCAAACTGTAGTCATCAAACGCCAACGGGAAAAATATGCAGCAGTCTTTCGGGAAGGCCTCGGCAAGTGCACTAAAGTACAAGCTTCGCTATCCCTTAAGTCCGATGCCGTTCCAGTCTTTCGTACGACACGCCCTGTACCTTACGAGGCAACATCAATGGATGACGAGGAGCTGGATCGCCTAGAGCAGCAGTTATCCATCTGGTGAATTACCCGTCTTGGGCGGCGCCTATTGTGATAGTCAAAAAACCAAACGGTCAGATTCGAATATGCGCCAATTTCTCGACGGGTCTAAATGCGGCATTGAACGCCCATCAGTGCCCTTCACCGCTTCAAGATGATTTGTTCGCAAAAGTGAATGGTGGTAAATGTTGCGCAACGCTGGATCTCTTTGACGCATACCTGCAGCTCGGGGTACATGAAGCTTCACGAGAATTACTCACCATCAATAAGCATCGAGGCTTGTAGCAGTATCATCGTCTCCCGTTTGGAGTCAAGTCTGCACCAGCCATATTCCAAAAGATCGTGGACATAATGCTGACAGATGTCGATGGAGCAGCCGTATACCTGAAAGACATCACAGTTGGCGGATGCAGTGCTGATGACCTATTCGAAAGGCTGGACCACGTTTTTGGCCGTGTTTGGGGAACATGGATTCAGAATCCGACCTAAGAAGTGTACCTTCTCACGGAATCGAGTACGTGTCTCGGCCTTATAATCGACAAGAACGGTAGGCGTTCAGACCAAGCGAACATTGTGCCAATCAAGAAGATGCCGCCGCCCAAAGATACTGCAACGCTAAGGTCCTTCCTAAGACTCATAAGCCATTATATCCAGTTCCTACTATACATGCGATCTCTCTGTAATCGGAAGTGAATCAGGTGTTGGAAACGCTCAGAGAGTTTCCGGTAACTTTTGAGATGATACGTGACGCATCAACGCGGGATCCTATCCTACAACAAGTGGTCAAATTTCATACTACACAGTGGCCGAACGACAATCGAAATGGGGAATTACGAAGTCTGTCCAGGAGAAAAGATGAATTATCCATCGCCGATGGCTGTTTAATTTGGGCGGAAGTAGTTGCTATTCCCAGGGAGCTACGCCAAAGAATTCTACGGCAGTTGCATCGTGGACACCCTGACACTAACAGAATGGAAACAACTGCGCGAAGTTGCGCTTACTGGCCGAGTATCGATTCGGAGCTGGAACAGCTAGCGAACTGGTGTACGAAATGTGCGCTTGTAAGCAAGTCGCCCAGAAAAGCGGAATTGTCTTGTTGGCCGTTGTCAAGGAAACCGTGGGAGCGAGTAAAAGCGGATTTCTTTGGTCCCGGAAATGGACAACAGTAGCTCATCGTTGTTGATTCCTTCAGTAAAAGGCCGGAAGTGTTCTGCATGGAACGCACAAGATGCGCAACAATTCGCGTACTGAGAAGACATTTCGCCCAACATGGAACACCAGAGACTCTGTTTACTGACAATGGCCCTCAGTTTGCATCTTTGCAGTTCGCAGAACGCTATCACACACCTACGCTCGCCGCCGTTCCACTCGCAGTCCAATGGGCAAGCTGAGCGCTTTGTTGATACTTTTAAACGGACATTGCTGAAACTGTGGGGGGAAGGAACTACCCAAGAGATATTGGATGTTTTCCTTCTCCGAGCCTCCAAGTGTCAAATTAGCTGTCCCCAGCAGAAGCGCTTATGGGCAGAACTCCGTACTCTGAATTTCTTGCTGCTTCCAAAGCGTATCGCTCCGCAAGAGAGGAACGTACGAATCGAAAATTACTTCAATCAGCTGCACAGGACGCCAGTACGTCTATTGCACCCTGGACAGCGTGTCTTAGTCAAACACTATCGCCCTGGAAGACCACAGTGGGCCACAGGCTCGATTGACTGCAGACTTGGACAAGTGCTGTATAAAGTTCGAGTAGGTTCTATGATTTGGATCAGACACGCAAATCAGCTGCGGCCTACCAGCATTCAGAAAGGTACCGGTGAACGATCGCTGTCACTGCTAGACAATTACGACATACACCCTGGAACTTAGGAGCCAGCTAATGAGCCGTGCTCGGTGACCACCGAAGAAACGAGCTTGCAGCAACGCGATGGACTGGTCGGATACTGAGGTCCGTGGTCAGAATGCAGTTGGATCCCAGGACGAAGTCGTAGGTCAGTTTTCGCGAGGGAGGTGTTACTGGAGCCTGTCCATAGCAGCCATCGAAGCTAGCTCTCTCTCTCCGAAGCAGCCCAGAGAAGATTGGTCGTGCGCCGCCTGTATCTGATTGGCTAGCCAATGAGTGTAAGCCAATGGCATCGTTTTATCTTGAAGTGGACCAAGCAGAATGACCTGTCTTGAAGCCCTCCAGTAAGCGTGCTACATGATCAGTCAACAAGCGAGTTTTTGCGTATCTAGTAGTTGCTATAGTCAGTAACTTTCAATTAGGTCTCCTCTCTCATGAACTATCTATTTTGACCCAATATTTTGGCTGTACATTCTATCTTCCGGGTGCTGCATACATGTTCCGCCAGAGGTCTTTGTCTTTTGATTTGGGAATTGGTTGTATGATGATCAGAGTGGTTGCATCGGTTATCCGTACGGTCAGCGGAAACACAGCAATCGGAAGTATAAAAACAGTATTGATGAGATACCAAGGAAGAAAACATTGACAGACTGGACGAGCTAGAAAAATAGACGAAGGCCTTGAGCTAGGAGAAAGAACTCCAAAGAAGAACTCTGAAAGAAGCATCGAAATGAACACCTGGTTCGGCGTGCATAGCGTTACGAACAAGGTGGTGAGCAAACTGCCGTTCAACGACGAAATGGAGCTCTGGATAGAAAACTGTTTAGCATGAGCACAAAAAGATGTAACCATTCCGCCTCAGGTTAGATGAGGTAAGCAGCAGGAGCAGCAGCATACCCAGCAACTAATGATGTCTCGCTGCCAGGCGACCATCCACGGCTACATACAACTTGGGACACTGCGCAGCCTGGACTCGGCGACTTGTGGAATGCAAGGCAACCGCTACAGATCAAAAGCCTCAAGAAACATGTGGACACAACACACTAAGGGTGAACTGCAAGTGGGGCACATTGTCGGGCCAGGTGAGCGCTACAAACAGGGCACGGTCAAAACCATGTCCACTGCGTCCAAAGCGTAGAGCGCGGTCAAACATGGAAGTGGAAAAGATAAGCACACAAATCGGAGACAAATGATTGACTAACGATCATTTGCGCAGGTAAGGAGTGCGGCTAGTGGTTCGAGTTAAGGCAGCACAACTAAATTGTGGTGCAGTTAACAAGTGGAATTAGAAATACCTCTGGAGCAAGAACAGCGAACCTACAGAGAGACCAACTATCCAGACTGCTGACTGAGCCGGGTGCCAGTGTAGAGATACAAGGATCAGATAGACAGCAACGAAAATACCAACCGCACTAAGCGCCGTAGCATATCAAGCACAGGTGTACGTAACCAGGAGCACCCTAGGCCTGTCTTGTGTACGTCGATGTGATTGGCGAATCGAAGATAAAAGCTCAAACGTAGATAAAGGAGCACAGGTAATACGCATATGCATTCCGAACGGTGCGCAAAGTTAGTAAGACTGCATTTGGGGAAATGAGTTAGAGGACAAACTGAAAAACGGCATTGTAATAGTGTTGGTGAAATTAATGTCAAATGTAAGAGAAAACGCGTCGGAAAAATGGCGGGGGAAGTTTAAAGTGAGAGGACAATAGATGTGCGGAGAAATATTGAGTTGTCCAGTACCGGGTAACAATGAGCAAAATTGGTGCGGTTATTGCCAGATGGAATGCCCGTAATAGATGTACACATGCGACAAGTAACACGAGGTCGTAAAACAGAGGAAGAACCAGAGTCGCGCGTAAAGAGATTGGCAGTTAATCGGCGTATTACATGCAAGCGACAACTCAAACATGGGGTTCGATTGGGTGAGTTGACGTGACACATGCAGCAAGAACAAAACAAAAACTGTCCTTTCAGGCAAGAGCGGGGGTGATGTCAAATACATACGTTTAATAAGGTACGGAGATTGTGTTTCGATTATATCAGCTAAAGCTGCAGCGTGAAAGGGATTACACCCAAAACACAGGGGTTAGGAGAAAAGTGCAAACCTGTCTAGTTAGAATAGCCAAGAGTTCGTGCAAACATTTTGCTGAATGACGAACTTACACAACTCATCGGACGTGAAGGATAGGAAACGAGACAATAAATAGCGCATTGCCCGGACAAAGCGACTGTTCAACAGGCTCTCAAGCCAGCCGGCTTGTTGAACGCTGGATACGGGGTCTGTCGGAGGACAAAAAAATATGCACCCCGAAGCATAACGACTGCAAATGGCGCAAATTCTACGGGAAAAAAATAACAAGAGTACTGGAAGGTAGAAATAGCTGCCAAGGTAGGATGTTGCGTTGCGGCGAACCGGGTGGTTTGAGTCTCACCTTGAAGTGGTCATGTGAGAAAACAGTAAAAAGGTTATTTAGCTAACTGGTATCCGACCAAAGTAACGTCAGTAGGGATAGGTTTTTTAGCAGAGAGCGGTAGCGCTCTTCCTTACCTGTTGATGGATCCAGAGCATTCGACGAGGGATAAGCCAGCTGCATTAAAGTCTGCAAAGCCGAGTCCTCAAAATCTGCGCGAATGACGTCCAGTCGGCCATTCAGACAACTAATCACAACGCGCTTCACCGCATCCGACGTCAGCCGACCGGAGAGGAAGTCCGCTTCAAAATGTGGGTAATCCTTGTATACACGGTCCTCATCGGGGATAGAGAGGCCTGGAAGAGTTGAAGCAAAAGAAATACCACACATAAAACTAGAATATTCAACATTGTTGATACAAAGAGCTAACGACTAAATCGACTAAAAGGATAACAGAAAGGAAGGCGTCAATAAAGTGCATGCTGCATAAAGTGTGTTAGGAAGAAAAAGCACTGGAAAATAGCCCAAACGTCACCAATTTGAATCCGCCAATATGAAAGCCATCTCGCGGTATACCCAACCCAAGCGCAATTGGTGGGGATGGTTGCGTGTCAGTGAAGCATCAGTACGGTGTGTGCTGGCATACTACTGCTGCTACCCTGTCTTCTGAAGGGCAAACGGTAGGCAAAATCGACCCCGCTACCAGCGGCTACAAATCTCGGAGCAGACTGAGTAGGGCGGTATTGTTGTTAGATATCCGTGTATGGTGTAGGGAAAGCAACTTCAGCCTTCAGGCTTGTAAATACGCGTAACTAAGCTAACTAAGCAATCCAGATCATAAATGGGGTGGAAAGCATCCTTATATGCATCATGGGTAGGATAGCCTCTGGTCACTAGCAGTCAGTGGTGAACAAACGCTGATAGGTCAATGAGCTGTTGCTGTTCTCATGTTACCATCGAAAGCCCTGTGGTGGCCACCCGATAGAAGTCAGGCCAACCACTTTTCTTAGTTAAGAGTTAGGACACAACAGTGCGAATTCATTGGATCCTGACATATTTCCCGTCACCGTTCGGAAGCACACTGTAACGAAGCTTTGAGTGCATAGCCAAAGTCATCATCGTGTTCAGGTAGGCCTTCAAGCAGCACATTAGTTCAACTGCCATACTGTATCGACCGTCGAATAGCGCACAAGTGATCGCATGATCTGGTGTATACTGGAGAATGGACAGCAGGAAATATGCCGCACCACTCTACATATGCGCATTCCGGGTCCCATTTCGACTAGTCTTTCGCACCAAAGCAAGTCTGCGCTGTAACCTCTTTTCTTTTAGGCAGCAGACTGAGACAATATGCATTTAATTCATATGTATACGCTGTTAACTTAGAGAATCGCATAAATGGTGAGTGGTTAAATATCAGTTGTTACGTAGCGAGAAACCTAGTGCATAACACCGAGCACACCTAGATACTGTTAGTTGAAGAGAGATGGGGCTTAGTTACAAGCAACGCAAATGGATTGCAACGTATGACGACATCTCTCGCACCGACGAAGGCCAAGTAGGAGTTCATCGCAAACGTAAACTAAACTATATTCGAAAGATGTTTGTGAGTAACGTAAGTTTAGTAGAAGGTAGAAGTCACGATTAAACTCCACACGAAAATCTGCCTCGACGGGGAATCGAACCCCGGTCCACGAATTTCCGGTCCGTTGCTCTACCACTGAGCTACCGAGGGCTGACGATTAGATGCGGAATTTAACACGTGACTTCTGCTTGATGCGCGACGTATTGCCAATGAGCTCACAGTAACTGTCCTGGTGTTGCAGATCGGCTCACTCACTATATTCCTATATTCCTTATTGTAGCCAGTAGCAACATCGGAGGCCAGGAAATCTAACACTGACAATGAAGTATCGCGGAACCAGTCAAACTCCGCTGTCTCGAATACAAGCTGGCTCTGTGCCGCTATACATCAAAGGTGAATGCTGCTTTCGGAGAATTGAAATATTGGGCGCGGAAGAATAACCAACAGACGGTTGGGACAAAGTCGATGGTTTACAGGTCTGCCATTTGGTCGGTTCTCCTCTACGGTAGAGAAACACAGACCATCTAAAAAATAACATTCGCTAGCTGGAACCATTTCATCAAGGTTTACTATGACAAATTCTGTGAATCCGTCAGTGAGATGGATGAACTGACATTGAAGTACTTGGTCACATATCAGCCGAGTGGATGTGATCGGACCCGAATCGAAACCGTTGTTGTATAGTCAGCTGGGTGCAAGAAAGATGTATGCAAATCTAAGACGCACCAAGAAGATAAAGGAGCAAGGTGAGTTTATAGCGAACTAACTTGGATCTGAGGTACTGAAAGAGGAGGCCAGCAGATGGTCGACAACGACTTGGCAACATCAGGTGTGACATTTCACAAGTGCCACAGAGAGAGAGAACGAGTGCACAGTAAACAGAAACGGTCGATATACACAAGCGATGAATACAGTCATCATCCGTGTGGGGACGCTATACATACGGCCGTGTGGGTTGCAGTAAAGTAGACTTGATAAGCCAAAGGCGCGGCCACGAAGAGATGCGTCAGAACAGCTGAAGGACACTGCTTCCATGGTCACTTACTGACCACGGAGAGGGTAACCAGCGTGGCACGTGTGCTGTACCGCTGTTGAAACTAGGCTGAATTTGCACATTGTATATGCGCTGCATGCTTGATGAGAATGTTGCATAATAGCACCAGTATGAACAATAAGACGGCAGTAACTTAACTGATACGTCGCTGTCGTACAAATACAATGACCAAGGGAATGGGGAATCGTAAGACATAGGGGGGGGATCTAGTACTGAACCGAAATTCCATAGGCGAACATTCCTGGTACGCAGACTACACGCTGTAAACAACATCCAGTCACAAACAACTGGTGATCGTGTAAAGATAAGGCGACATTGGCGAGACAGCTTACTTGCGGCTTTCAAGGTCCCGCGCAAAGAACCCAGCGCCAGACACATTTTACATAGACAGCAGACGCGTCACTGGTGTCGACAGTGAGCTATGGTGCAGTAACGTCTCGAGCCAAACAAAAGGTGGGCCACGTTGATTCCAGTGTGTAAGGCAAAGACGGATTAACAGCACACAGTTTGGTTGTCTGTGACTTCAATACTTGGTGCCAAGTCAACTTTCGCCCACCTAAAGCTCTGCGTCACCTTACATTTGGCAAAAAAAACAAGATTCTCCTCGGCAAGTGGTGGCCGGCCACACGTAGCAAGTGTCCAAGCCGATGGGCATAATCAGTATTGTGTTTCGCATATGAGCTCTGCTATGCAGATAGCAGATGAAGCGACCCTTTTGAAACTACGAAACGATCGACGCGGGGAGTGACTGGAAGGTAATGATGAATTCGTTCACCTATGATGGGATGCTGCCAGGGCTCTCAAACCTACGCAACAGAACGACCAGGATCCTCGTGTAAGTCCCTTAGCCCAAAAGCCTAACCGTAAGGCAGTGGGAAGATGACAACGATCCAGATTTAGAGAAATAGTGCCATCCAGGTTCCAACTTCCGACAAAGAGAGCCATGAATCGGTGAACACAAACCGTCACACCAGGTAAGGTTCAGTATCATCCAGACGAACGAGATGTGCAATAACTTGGTGAGGTCAAAGACCTGTTCCATAATGGAAACAAGCAAGGGCCCAATCACAGATGTGTGTATACCTGGTGACTGTCCGCAGGCAGTCTAACTTTCACGTAAACGCCTGGCGATTGAGGCGTCGTAGTATGGAGTACACTTTTCACAATTCAAGTGCAAAGCGCCTTTTCAGGGCAGGCATAAGCCCGTACCAGCCCTCACCATTGATGATAAGACGATGGAAGTTGTACAGTTTTATCCACCTGGGATGCTGCAGCACTGCTGGTGGGGCTGTTGGAAACGAGATTTCGATGCGCACCTCAAGAGCTCGTCTCGCCTTCTCCAGGCTGAGGCATTTATGGCGTCGCGATGACATCCGTCTCTCCATTAAAGGGCGGGCTCATGCCGTGACCTTCCACGTTGTACTGTTGTGCGGCTGCAAGACTTGGCCTGCTCCGACCGTCCGTCTTCAAGAACCGTTGCTTGCGGCACATCGCCCGGGTGTGGTGGCTGTACTACGTAACCAAAATTGGAGTCAGACAGCGTGTCCGATGGCACAATATCTGTACACAGATTGTGAGACATATATGGTTGCCGGCATCCGGTTTCAAATTTGTCAGCCACTGGGGCGAGCCACAGGACACCTGCGCCTATTGAGGGACCATGAGTGGCATGCGCTGCACCACACACAGCTCCATCCACACTCCATATCCAGTGTAAACCCGAAGGAATACGACCGGGAGGCATGTGAACGGGAGCCACGTTTCATCAACGGAGCCGCTCCACACTCCTTCACAGGTAAACGCAAGCAAGCTGTATTTGGGGAATCAAGCGGTGGTGGTTGGACCGTGGTCCGCTCCACACTGAAATTATGGAAGCACACTTCGAGGCTAGCACGGCCACAAGGATTGTGCACCCCGTCCCCTCCAGAAAAGACCAACTGCCTCCTGGAAACAGTATGGACGAGATAGTGGGTAATAGTCAGGTAGGCACCTTGTTAGCATGCGCACCCAGTGCAGCCACACAGGGGACACCAAACAACAGCCAACCACTTGAAATAAAATATATATGTTAAAGCATACGGTTATGCCGACATAACTCTTTGCTAAATTAGCATATGAAGTAAGTTGATTAGCAATGAATCCGCCATAATTACAAAATGTTCAGAAGTTACACAAAAAATGCCAAAAACGCGAAAAAGTTAAGGAAGATAACCACAACAGGCGTAAGCAACGAGTGCAATTTGATAAATTTTCAGGTAGGCAGAATAAACCAAATAAAGTGGAATGAGATGCATCCAGCTTAAAATGACCAAGTTTAAGTGTAAGTTCGTTTAGCGCAACTGCGGTGACGAAGCATCATGAATGCAACATCAGCCTCAGCATGGGGCACGATATATATATATATATATATATATATATATATATGACAAAAATGTAGTAATCCAGGGCGCTATCTGTTGAAGGACCCCAAGTAAATCGCAGTACTCATCCGCAGGAGCCGAGGGCTAACTATTTGCATTTACACTGGATATAAAGTGTATGAATGGAACTGCGAGTGGTGTATATGTACCGTGGCTGTCTGCAGACTCAGTGACAGGTAATTCCAAAAAGGGTATATGAGCAGGACAATGAAAAAGATTGGGAAGCGCATCAAACAGCATATTCACTGCATACCTTGGGAAGAAAGCAGAGGAAAAACCACGTATTTCACAAAGGCCAGCACTCCATTGCCTTGCTCCGCAGACATGTTGAGGGGACAAGCGGCATTCAGTAACTTCTGCTCCACTAGATCCGGTGGGTCCAGTAGATCAACTTTAGAGTCTGCATCTGACGAGGACATCTTGGATCCCGTCAAACCCGGAACCATAGGGTTCATGAGATGTATGCGTTTTTTCTGTCCCAAATGAGGCAAGTACTGAATGATTTGGGGGTAAAACAAAATGAAAGACGAGCATAATTCAGTGGGAGTTATCATAGTTGGAAAGCTGAGAACCATGAAGAGAGACTCAAAAAGTGCGGACCATTCCGCTAAACAAGCGTGACGAAAGGAAAACAAAGAAAAGCTCTCAACAATTTAACCTAGGACTTGATGGCGTCGCCCGGAGTTGTCCGTACTTAAATCTTAAGAATCAATGCATCAGTGTACTGTGCATGTTCTCAATTTTCAGCTGTCGGCAACACAGAACGTGGCATGTCAATGGTCGGTACGAAAACATCGGAGCCATGCGACCAGATAACACAAACACTCTAGTGTCGAAAAAAGGTAATGTCAATAACCTACAGGGTGTGTCGAAGTTCCGTATCCCACGATTTAGCTCGTCTCTCTTAATAAAAGTGGTTTCGTGGCCTGAGTCAATTAACTCCCGTAACGCAGTAATGAAAGCCAGAAACACACACATCCCAAACTCCACTGAGATTTTAGCATGCGTCATTGCAGGTCGAGCAGCACATATGTATTGCTATAAGTAATCCAGTGGAGTGAGAAGCGAAAACACGCAATGGACAACAAGTGTTCACGGTGCTCTTAGAAGTCCCCGGTAAAGTGTGGAAAAAACAGAACGTATAAAACCCACCAGTTATTGATTTTGACCAGCAAAACCAGGTAGTCAATTAAACAGACAGAACAACGTCGTTTTGCAATAGAGAAATGGCAAACAAGAGCGTTCTCGCTGCACCTTGATTTACGTACCTCTGTCGGATGTATACAGGAACTACAGTGAATATGCTTATCTAAATTTGCGAATAGAAGCACCCAAGATCAAAAAGTTTAATTCAGCGATGAGGCTAATGAGGCAAGCTCAATATTGTGAACCCACGATAAGAAAAAGAATTCCAGTGATCGGTAAAAGTGACTCGGTCGTTAATTCAATTGTCCCCGACTGGTACATCTGATGCTTTGCGAGGTAGCGCCAATAAGTAAGTCGACCAGTGAAATGAAGATTGTCTAGACGTGTCATTACCCCGAAAAAGAAAAAGCCTAAACTGTTGCTTTAGAAATACCAAAACATCGATTCCAACAATTTGTTATCGACAGCTTGTGTCATTAAACGTGGGGGACACAGCAGTGCCCAAAGCACCCACAGATCTGCGCAAAATGCCAGGGCAGTTTCATCGGTGGAGTGATCCAGATATCGTGCTAAGTGGTGTCTAGTCTAATGAAGAAAACATGATGATACAAAGCGTGATGATAGTTGTAAACTATTGAACAAATGATGAACAAAACTGGTATATGGTAGGGCCCGCAAAACATGGTTTCAACATAGCCTACCAAAGGTCCGTTTGGCCATTAATGAACACAAATGAATGGTTGAGGTTCACGATAAAGACAATTCGATAACATACGTGGGTGTTATACCACAAATATTGAGGACAGACTGTCAGCAGGCACCACAACACTCGAATCTTGCAATATGTTACTCGTATGACAGCTTCACAGAAAAGGAACTGTAAGTTGCTTGGGTTGGAATACTTGTGTTTATGGAACTGCGACAGACAACAGGCCAGGAATGTTCATTAGGACCTGAATCGAGGTAATTAGGTCGAAGTCTATCGAAAGTTGGATCCAAAGTCCGTTTAGCACACTGATCAACAGGTTCAACTGACAGCATTAACTATAGCGACCAGAAGCAAAGTCGACTCCAAAAGGGGTGGATCAAAAAGTTCTCGGCCCAAAAAGTAACATTATTTTATAGGAGTATCAATGCCAAGTTTCAAGTTTCCATCTCTATTGGTTTGCAGGTGATGACCCATTGAACTGATCTTGGTTGCTCGAATTCTAAAATATGGACAAATCTGAAGGTCAAGATGTGATCAAGTACCTGCAGAAAAAGGGTATGACGCCAAAGGAAATCCATACTGGTATGGATAAGACAACTGACGAGGATTCCTTTTCTTATTTCACTGTCAAGTAGTGGGTTGGAAATATAACGACGGACGGGGACAGCACTAAAGATAAGCCACGGTTTGGTCGCCCAAAATCTTCGACGTGTGATGACCAAGTGGAAGTAATTCCACGAATGATATTGAATGATAGCAAGTTATCTATTTCTCAAATAGCTAAGACTATGGGCATCAGTTATGACTAAGTGCATCATGTTTTAACGAAAATCTAGGGGATGAAAAGCTGACTGCAAGGTGGGAGCCCAGAATGTTGACACTCGATCAGAAAGTGAACAGGCTAGAAAATTCGAGGCAACGTTGACCCATTTCAAGGCAAATCTCGCAATTTTTTCTAAAGATTTGTTGCCCAGGATGAAACTTGGATTTATAATTTTGAGCCAGAATCAAAGATCCGAGGTAAACAGTGGAAGCACCGTGATTCTCCGCCCCAAAAGGAGTTCAGTCAGATGACGTCCGCGGAAAGATGATGGCCCCCTATCTTCTGGGACAGTGAAGGTGTAATTATGAGAGTTTGCTGAGTAGTATACTTCAGAATTAAGCCAATTAAAACAAGCAGTCAAAGAAACTCGGAGGGGGAAGCTCGCAGTTCTTCTTTTGCATCACAACGCACCGGTTCACAATTCTCGAGTGGCCGTGTAAGAAGCAGCCATATGTGACTTTGAATTACAGCAACACCCTGCTTATTCACCAAATCCGGCCCCATTATCTGTTCCCTAAATTAAAATCGCACCGACTTGCCGACGATGAAGAGTTCATCAGTGCTGTGGTGCTGTTTTTAGAGGGACAGTCTTCGACTTTTCCATACTGGGGTAGCAATACCTTAACACCGTTTGACTAAGTGCATTCAAATGGGAGATTACGTTGGATAGTAATACAGCAAGATTTAGATAGCTGGCTTTTTTCCATGTCGAGATGAGACATTTTTGATCCACCCTTGTATATCCACGATAAGTGTAGGCCAGAAAGTATAGTGGAGAAATACAATGTAACACAAAGGGACGCAACGTACTTTTTCAGCAAACATGAAAATTTTTCTTTGATCCACCCCACCAAACTGGGCGTCCACACCCAAATGAATCTCATCTAGCGCTTGGAGCAGCGGATACAGCAAACCAGACACGAGAGGATTAGATACTTGCTTCACGACTTCTGCACCAGCCTTTCGCGCATCATGAGCCGATGTGACTGACAGCAAACGATACAAATCAGTCGAATATGGCCTAGGGGATAAAATGGTGCAAAAAGCTGGTTTAATGTGATAAAAGTTATAAAATTGGTAGAGCCAAGTGTGGAAACTACCCGATAGTGATATTATAGTGCCCTTCCTGATTTCTTCCTAACGAAATCCCCTGCATAATAGACAGGGATGTACAAAAAGAGTCCGTCGTGTAAAAATGTTCGGAGGGAACAAGTTCAAAGTGGATCGATGAGCGATGCAAATATCGACCAAAATCCCGTCTCTGTTGCAAAAACGCCAAAAATGTCAATAACGGAAAATGTGATGAATATAAAGATGTTAGATGCTAAATATAACACGTCAGAAACATTTATGCAAGTCAGCACGAACGTATTATGGGCAACAATTCTCTATCGCCCGCACATTTTGCCATTTTGCAGCAATCAGACAAACACTACGGAAGAGGTTGCACGTCGAACTGTTGCTCACTTGTAGACGATTCTTTTTGCCAATCAGCACGACACCGTCACTGGAGTTGATGATGAAGAGGCTTAGACTGGTATTGAAACGATTACAGATAAACCACTCAGTTTGGGGAACAACCAAACATCCTTATCCATATTCTCAGTTACCTACATTCGCGACAAGCCGTACATTGTTCGCGAGTGGGTAAATCGACCACAGAAAGAGTATCACATCATTGTGTAACAGGCACGGCCGACAGACTGTATACACATTAGCTGTGATATTAATAAAAGCAAGCAACTCAGAAACACGTGACCGTGAAAAGAATCTCAAAGAAAAACAGAGCGCATGGTAGTAAGATATTGACGGCAAAACGGTAGGGTTAATCGAGTGAAAGATGAGAGAGATAAATACTCACTCTGTTAGTTCATAATCTGCACCTCGAATGAAGTTCAGGCGGTCTAAGGGCACGTTGATGGACTTAAGCATCCCTTTGATTACAGCTTCGTAATAACGGGTGCGATGACGAAGAAGCGACCATGGAGCCTTCATGTTATCCAAATAGGCGTGCAAGTCGGCGAACAAGATGATCACCTTGCAACCCGCATGTAACATGTCGGCCAACTTGAGTACGGGAACAAAGTACGCCACATGAGGCCTGCCTGTCGTGGCTGTACCCCAGTAGACGGCAACGGGATCATCCCGACCCAACAAAGCGCGTAGTTCCTCATCTCCCACAACCTCCTGATCACCAAACGAATGCGAAAAAATAAAAAGCGATTATCGCTCCAACCGCCATCTTTCATGAGAAGCCATCATCTACACAGATGATGGATGATATCAGTTAATCGAAATGGTAGGAGTTTCAGCAAACCAATCATATTCGGGAAAATAGAAGAAAAGAAGGATTATTTCGTACGAGAAGACCAGTGTACTGAATCACGGAACTAGCGTACCGTAAGAGGGAACGCGAAATAAATGGCGCTGAAGACTGCGGCTTACCAAGAATGCTAAGTGAAAACTGCATCACCCACTGTTGCTAACAATGTTGCGCTAAAAAAGCGTTTCAAAATGTTTACCAAAGTGCCTCTAACCACTGAGTCGTTTGCACTGCATTTATAAAAATTGGTCCAGATACATGTAACCTTGCTGAGAATTAGGGCCGCTTTGTGCATTAGGGTATCAACTCACGATCATAGACAAGTGTCGTTTGCGATAATCGGGATTCGTAGCATCACATCGGCATATATATATATATATATATATATATATATATATATATATATATATATATATATATATATATATATATATATATATATATATATATATATATATATATATATATATACAGCATCCAGCTTCGGATTTCTCTGTCACTGTAGCCAGCCACAGGATGCCTGCACTTACAGAGGGACCATGGGCAGTTTGCGCTGCACCACCCACAGCTCCATCCACACACCCCATATCCAGTGTCAACCCCAAGGAATAAGACCGGGAGGCATGTGGATGGGAGTCACGTTCCATCAACGGAGCCGGCCCACACTCCTTCACAGGCAAACACAAGCACGTTGTATTTAAGCATCAAGTGCACACAAGGCGGTGGCTGGACCGTAGTCCGCTCCACACTGAGTGCATGGAACCACTCTTCGAGCCTAGCACGACCACAAGGACCGTGCACCCCGTCCCCTCCAGCAACGACCAACTGTCTCCTGGAGCCAGTATGGACGAGGTAGTGGGTAATAGACAGGTAGGCACCTTGTCAACATGCACATCAAGCGCAGCCACACCGGGGATATCAAGCAACAGCCAATCACTCGAAATGTCTTTATCAAATAAAAGATATCGAATAAAGTAAACGTATACGACGACATAAATAATCGGTAAACGAGCAAATGGAGTAAATGGGTTATAAGCGAACTCGCGATAACCACAGAACGTCCAAAAGATATCCAAAAGATATCACGGGATACGGCTACGCAAGTTTACCATAAATATCATGAGGGACGTGTGAAAATTAGGATAAAATGATCAGGTACGTAGAACAAGCCAAATAAAGTGGAATGAATGTAATAAACGGTAAAAACGCCAAGTTTAAGCGCAAGTTGGTTTACCTCAACCATATATATATATATATATATATATATATATATGTATTCACTTAAAATTGACGATTTGGGAATCGATTTGCGTATATTGCAATTCAAGCGGAAAATCAGCAACTCACCAGCGAGAAATGATGAATAAGGCGAGCAGCCGAAGTTTAGGCTACATCGTAGTCAAGTTAATGCAACCGAATTGTGTAAGCAGCGGGTGCCACTGCAAACTCTTCTCTTGATCACGAACCCTGATCACCTCGATCAAAAGCAGCAACTGAGCATCCCCGTCGCTCCCTATCGGTAATCGCGTAGTTTAGGTGCCTGTGCCTTTACACATGGACCTGTGTGACTAATGGAAAGTCAGACTACCCAATCGTGTAGTCTCTCATGACTTAAACAAAGCTTACCTAGCATTGGATGGTCGTGGTGAAGAACTCGTTTGGATGGCAGATTACGACGCGCCATCTCAATGTGGATCATGATTCCCACTGAAGTAAACCATGCCCGATTCGATCACCTGGACGGTAACTGAGGAAGTAGATAGGCGACGACCCAGTAGTCTCCTGTCCTTTTTGGTCGTTTTGTGCAGCACGAGGCTAATAAGACGATGCTGGGTTCGGTGGAGTCATAATAGTTTCCACTGATCCAATACGCAAGTAACTGAGTACGTTCCCCCACACCCACACAAAATACCCCGATGTCCATAGGGTGTGTCACCGGCTTCGATGGAGATGAACGACGCCTATGTTCAAGAAAAGGGCTTGCACTATTGCCCAATACTAGCACAGTCCTGTTGCATTCGCGTGAACAAAATGTGGTCGGAACATTGTCTAGTCGTCTTACTCCCCTGCCTTCGATAACAAACTATAACAGTAGGCCAGTAAAGCTAGACTGGTAGGTCAATAAATGTAGATTGTGTTTGGTAGAATCAAGACAGCCTACACTGTTCCAATAGTTCAGTAACTGCATGTGATCTCCCGCACACACTCACAGCAAATACGCGGATGCCCATAGGCTTGTACCACTGCCCACTGTTTGCACAGTCCCGTTGCATTCACAAGACCAACATGCGGTGGGAACATTGTCCAGTCGCCTTACTTCCCTGCCTTGATAACAAACCGATAGTTTAGGCCAGCAAAATTAGGCTGGTTTTGGTGGATTCATCATAGCTTACATTGTTCCAATGTTCGAGCAGCGGAATAGGTTAATCTACACACCCAGATAAGATACGCGAAGACCCGTGGAGCAACAAGGGACAACTGGACCACCGGTTCTGATCGAGACAGTTGGCGAGCATGATCAAGAGGAGGGATGGCACAATCGCCCACTGTTTATACAGTTATGTAGTGTTCGCGTAGGCGCAATGTGGCCGGAATATCGCACAGTTCCCTGACTTTGATAACAGGCTACAGTTGTAAACCAATGAAGCTAGACCGGTTTGGGTGGATTCATAATAGCCAAGAGCGGTCTGGTGATTGCACTGCAGAGGTTCGCCCATACACCCACATGAAATACGCGAAAGCTCGTAGAGCGACAAGGGTGGAAAACACCTCAGCTACTGCGCCGCAATACGTAAAAAAACATGCAAGATGCATGCCAGCTGTTAGCAGTAACGGATGAGCATCGTTCCGGAAAGCTATCAGACGGTTACTATGCAACAAAATATTTATTACACAAAAAAGTATATTATGCTAAGAAATGAGATCGTGGTTGGAGTGGGAGGCTGAGGGATGGGGAGGGACAAAAAAAACTCACAGCACGCACGCCACTGAGGTCGGCTCCTAGCCATGTCAGCAAGTGCATCCAGCCAAACGTGTTCATCGTCTTTTGGACCAAAACAAGGGGGGTCGTGACGCTCCAACCTAGGCCAGCTCCGAATGGAGGGCCTTCAATCCTCTCGATCAAGTCATCGCTTGGCCAACCCTCCTCTTCTTCCATCCACACACCCGGCGAGCAAACAACACATGTCGCGGTAGCCGGTGGGTTAGCATACATAACACGTGACCGAGCCATCGGACCCTGGTGCGTGACATAATGGTGGTGAGCGGTTCATTTCCTTTTCCTGTGCCATAAATAAGGCGTGGAACACGCTCGTTGCTCACGCGGTGTTCCCATCAGATGTGAGCCAAATTTCGAAGGCCCCCGGTAGTCGAAGCTAATTGGCAGAGTAAAAGTGGATGGTAAGATTTCTTAATCCTCCAATGTCAATAATGTTGTACGACAGGGCTACCCTACGTCCCGTTCCTCTTCAATTTTGCGACTGAAGAAGTCCTGTCAAGAGTTCAGGAAGGTTAGCAACATTTTGGCCATCCAACCGACTTGAGACGCTCCGTTACAGACCCAATTTTCAAGGAGGGTTCGGGTTCAGAATACGGTAACCATAGAGGGACATTTTGGTCCCCATCGCCCCTGTTATTTGCTTCCCTCGTTTTTCACAGATTGACTACCGCTCGTGAAAGCCAGATTGATGAGGAGCAAGTCGGGTTTCATCGCAATCGAGGCTGTACCGACAACAGATTCATATTATGACAGTTGAGGGAATATCGCCACTTATATTGGCAACCTACCGTAGCCTTGTTCGTCGACATCAGAGGTGCCTTCTATTCGGTGGATCGATGTGCCCTTTGAGACTATCTGCTCAGAAAAAGTGCGCCAATTAAGTGAGCGCTCTAAGCGCACAGTAAGAGTAGAGTGAAGGGCTATGGCAAATGGTCGCCGCCCTTCAGAATCTCCAGCGGCGTGAGACACGGATGCCCGCTGTCAGCTTTCCTTGTTAAGTTCGGTGTCGATAAAATCATAGAAATTGCGTCTACTGGACCCGGCCGATAAAGTGTGCAGCTGCTCCTCGATTACAGAATTGTGGACTTGTAGCATGCCAACGACACTATCCCTATTTGTGATAGCTCGTTAGGGCATCAAGCAGCACTGGACAAACTAGCTGTCAGTTGTTTCGGGCCGTGTTTTATACCCTCCAAATTCAAGGCTTAGCGCAAAGATTAGAAGGGCCGCACCTGTGCTGAGGCTTGATGGGAATCATCTAAAAGTTATGCGGCACCTGTTGAATAAAAAAAGAGATTACGAACCGCTTAGCATAAGCTCGAGGTGATTGCGCCAATCTTCACTACCTGTGGCGCTTGTGCGGCACTCTCACCTCAAAGGGTAGAGTTTACAATGAATTCGTTCGTTCAATTCTACTGTACGGTTGTGGTTGTGGCTAGTTACGTTCGACCAACGGTGCCTTCCCAGTTTCACTCATATTTATGGGGAACACTGAGTGAACAATGAACGCGTTCGCCGCCTTGTTTACGGCCCAAGAGCAAGTGAATTACTATCATTCTTCGCATTAGGCTTCCGACAGCTGGTCTGTGTTATGTATGCCAGTACACTGACTTGCGAGATTGGGGTCTGGATGGAAGGGGAGGCCAACTAATGATTTGGTCGACAGGAATGAAGGCCTTCACTTCGAACTTGGGCTCGGCTAGTTCCTCCCTACTCCCTGGTTGGGGCCCGGCCGGTGGCCGAGTGGTCTGGGCGCCTAATTTGCAAGCGTAAGGTCACCGGTTCGAATCCGCATAAGGGTGGGCATCCTCGCGGTATACACAGCCCGCACGCGACTGGTGGTGGTGACGTAGCAGCCAAGCGCCGCTACGGCGTACAGCTAGAGACGCATTCGATTCAGCCGATCATAATGGCGTTGTGTTTCGTTGCCACTCTCTCTTGCTTAGCCTCCCTCTACAACCACTATTGCAATATCTATGTACAATAAAAAACAAAGCACACCATTGTTTGCCACGTTTTTCCAGTTGACTTTTTCCTTCTACAACTAAGCGATTTTATGATACTGTGGAATGATAACTAACGTGCCTCTTACCTCCAGATAACATGGGTACGATATGATGAGAACCTAAAGGATGACCAGTTAAGTAGGTAGGCAACTGGGTTAGCTCATCAGACAGTTATACAGTAACAACTGAAACCAACCTAATCGCAGTACCTACCTGTAAGTTCCTTGTGATAACTTCGTATTTGTGATCGTTACAACTCATCGGAGCAGAAAAATGTGGCAAATACACTTAGTGGAAGCGCATCAACTAGAGAAAGATGAACAAAGTAAACACATGTTAGAGAAGCCGTGATGATGAATGAAAACGATGTCAACAGTCAACAAAAAGAACAGCACATATTGTGGGGAAAAGAAGGACAACAGAAAGAACGGTAAAGTTGTAAACGGTAAGCACGCACAAGAGTATAGAATGTGTTAAAAAAAATCGCATGAGCATAGCTCCGTTAATCGGAATAGAACAACTTTCATGTCACTCAGTGGACAAGGTACAAAATCTGCGGCCGAGTCTAACACGCATACTACGCTTACGTAGGTTAGAAATGTCATTAATTATCAGTATCGGTAGTCAGATGAAAGATACCGCTGTGACGTGCAACGGTCCAAACACCAGTAGAATAACGGAAGCTGGAGTTGAACTGGGACCGGTATGATGGAGTAGTCTAATGATTGATCACTCCTCTGCGGATGGTTCAATCAGAACTTGACAGGGCAACCTGAGATCGTGTTGAACTGGAAACAAAACCCCACCACATAATGGCCGACCAATTACTGTCCACGCACCCGGTTCCATCAGTCCCCGTTGGGTAAGGTGAAGCAAGAAAGGGTAAATGGCGAACTCAGAAAACAAGAGTATGAAGGTTTATTAGATAATAGTAATAATACGGTAAGACCAAAGCTGAAGATACAATTGTTAGAATAAGGTTTGGTGTTGTCATCTAAGAGCAAATGGCTTACACACGAAACCCTCAGTTGTATATCCCCTAACCACGTGTCCTGAAAGTAAGTTGCAGCGTTCTAAAACTCGCGTAAACCAAACGAATTCCCTGTCCTAATCCAGTCACGGTGCGGTTTGAGTAGCTGCAAAGACGAAACTAAATCGCCAAGACAGTTCTGGGCTGGTTTTTCCATCCGAATGGAGGACTAAATCCCCTGGAATCCGATGAAAATGTATCCAGCATATACACAAAAGAAGACGTTCAAGATTTGTCTATCTACGTATACCATGCACTACCCCATTGTTCTCACCAGAACTCTACCTAATTTCAGTCCTGGTCAGGATATTGTTCAGAAAAGAGCACCCCCTCTGATAGTCTAAAGGTCCTCACAATGAACTAACAGAGAATTAGAATGAACTTGATCCTCATTAATCGAATTTTTACGGGAAAGATTGGTAAAAAATTATCATTTCTATTTAGTTATTATCATGTTAGTTGCGAGCCAGACGGACTGGTCTTTACCACAGGATTCTTCTATTGAAACCTGTTGGACTATCATTAGAGAGGGAGTGAAATCGTTGTGCGCCCGATTTGTACCCCTCAAATTTCGGAAAGTTGAGCGAATCAAACCGCATTGATTCGATGAAGAGTACAACAAACTGGCCCGATGACGACGCAGACTATGGAACAAGTTCGTGTTATCTGGCTCTGATGAGGACTACAATGCGTATAAGGTACAGCGAAATCGCTGCAACGACACGAAAACAAGAAAACGCAGAAGCTACGAAGAGGAGCTTGCAACCGCCGAAAAAACTGCTCCCAAGAGGGTCTTTGCATATGTGAAGCGGCGCCTGAGGCCTGTAGCCAATGTCCCAGTGTTGGAAGGCTCCGATGGACAGCCCCTAACCTCGAGTACAGATCGTGCGTCCGCATTGGCAATGCACTTCGCCTCCGTATCTGCAAGTGACCGTGTCTGTAACGAGTTCGACGAGTACCGCACCAGCCGAACTTAACAGCCTGGACTGCAATATTGAGGATGTGCTCAAGCTTCTAGCAAATCTTGACGGGACAAAGCCTGTTGGACCAGATGGTATACACCCACTGATCCTCAAGTCCCTATCGGCCATCATCGCGCCTTCTGTAAATGAACTGTTTAACAGGTCACTATCCACTGGACTGTTACCAGACGACCGGAAATGCTCAGTCGTAAAGCCTATACCGAAAGGTGGTAACCCAAGTAAAGTGGATAACTACCGGCCGATCTGCCTGACTGCTGTTTTGGCAAAGACGCTCGAGAAAATCGTGAGGAAGAACCCTCTGCAGCTTCTCGAGCCGAAAAACGTGTTGACCTCCGCACAGCATGGTTTCATGAAAGGTCGCTCGTGTATCACAAACCTACTATTGACAAGGCACGAGTGGTTACAAGCAATGAACCAAGGCCATTCAGTCGATGTCATTTACATTGATTTCAGTAAGGCTTTTGATAAAGTTAACCATGCAGTGCTCCTTGACAGGCTGAGGATGTACGGTGTTGGTGGTTCGCTACACAAATGGATCAGAAATTTCCTTGTGGATCGGAAGTGGAGAGTCCAGGTGGACAACCATCTAACGGACTGGTATCCATCGAGCAGCGGCGTGCCCCAAGGCACTGTACTGGGGCCGATATTGTTTCTGATCCATATAAACGATGTGCCTAAGCTACTCCAATCACCATGTGCGTTGTTCGCAGATGACTTGAAGGTGTGGAGAGTAATCTGCACACTCAATGATTGTGATTTACTTCAGCAGAATCTCGACAGCCTCTCAACATGGTCTGCAGAGGTTAACCTTCCGATCAACCCTGCTAAGTCGCAATTCATGAGGTTGGGTAAGTGTGAGCACAGCCGAACGTACACAGTGGCTGGTCAACCGCTGCATCCCGCGTCTTTCGTGCGCGACCTCGGTGTGCTCTCACGCTGCGACCTAAAGTCCATTGACAACATGAATAGGCTGTACCAAAACAGCCTTCGGATGTTTTGGGCGCTCAGGCGCAGCTTCAGCACTTGGTCCGAAGAGATTGCCACTCGCCTCTTCGTCTCGATAATACGACCAATGCTAGAATACGGCTCTCCTGCATATTGTCCCATCACGCTGGGCGAGGTAGAAAAGCTTGAGCGGGTGCAGCATGTAGCCACTAGGCTGATTCCCAACTTACGAGGTATGCCATATGAAGACCGATGTAAGAAACTAGGGCTGTACACCCTAGCATATCGTCGGCTGAGGGTTGACCTAATCATGACACACCGGATACTACATCTGAGTGATTACCCCATGTTGAGACAACTGCTTCATCTGCGCACACCAAGCAGCACGCGAGGACACCGGTACAAACTTGTCGTACCGCAGTTGAAGCGGGTAGCTCGCCAAATGTTTCGAACGTAGAGTGGTGTACACCTGGAACAAACTGTCGCAGCCGGTAATAGAGGCGAATTCAGTGGCCGAATTTAAGAAGCTTCTAGACAAACACTTCACAGAGGCAAAATATAAAGAGTGAAACGATAATTAATACGTTAATGCCCAAGAGCGACAACTGATGCAGCTACACAGAGTATGCTCTACTCGCTGCTTCTAATCAGTATCAGTAGAAGTATCAAGACGGGCAACGTTTGGCATAGCGGTTAATGAGCGATGTTGAGGGTTATTTTGAAGTAACGTCGTGTGAATGGATTGCGACGCAAGATCTATGTTGACCGCAATTCCCATTGAAGTGAATCTTGGTCTTTCGATCACGAGGACCGTAGCTGATGCAAATAGAAATTGGGTGTTGCCCGCCCGAAAACACTGCACTACTATGACGTGTTTCGATGTTATTACATCTCATCAGATAGAGTTAGCAGGCATCGAACCCGGGACCATTGGGATGATAGTTGTGACCGCTACCCCTAAGCCACCGCGCCACGAGGGGCAACGCTCCAGTCTCTGCACCTTACCCTGTCTCCGGCGTATCGAGTACCGTAACTGTTCGCACAAGCCATCTTCGCTGCGGTAGTTGTGTACCAATCTCCCGCACAGCGAGGACCGAATGTATAACGGCACGCCGCCACGATCGTTTGATATTCTGTCGCACCGTAAGCACGAGTAGCTACTGATCTGGACCTCCTGGGTAGTGACCTCGGGATCTAACCAGGTTTCGGCCAGTGCTAGTACGTCCGGACGATGAGGCAACGAAGTAAAATACATGGTTACGTTTGTTCATTAAACTACAAACATTTGTGAAGGCTACGCGCAGGCCGCGGTAGAAACAGACGGATGCGCACCAAGTGTCATCAACCTGTTGATCCAGGTTCGACGGATTAGGAGATGGGTTTTTCCACTATCAGTCCGCCGCGTCAACTCCACAACAGCAGACTTCAGTTTCTCTCTGTCCGAAGGATCTAAATCGAAATGAATATGGATTTTTAGACCTATATGCCTACTAAACTGGGATAGTATCAGCCTGAAACTCGGCTCGTAGCCTAGAGGTAACGAGCATGTCTCGTAAGCTTGCGGCGCGGGTTCGAATCCGCGTAGGGATGGGTGTCCTCGCGGTATACTCAGTCCGCGTGCGATTGGTGGTGGTCGCACGGCAGCTAAGCGCCGTTACGGCATACAGCTGACACATTGTTACTATTCAAACTAGTTTTATCAACAAACGTGACTCGCAGGGTCCGGGATTTCCCCTGCTCTCCCTTTTCAAGACGGGTGATTTGCTTCACCTGCAACCCCTGTTCGTTCACGTCGAGAAGCCAATCAACCAGGATCTGCAGAAAATGCAGGTCGTGATCAAAACGAGCCTGAGGACTAGCATCCGTCGACTCAGACGTGGAAAATCGCAACACTGCTGATTGCTGGCAGTTGTCCCCTCCTTTTTGCTTCGCCGCATCCTCCAGTGGTCTTCAGCGTCTGCGCTATCGCACAACGGTATATTAGTATCAGCAGGACCCAACAAAGGCACGTCAGCTGAGGCTGCAGCAACGTGTGGACATCGCACTGGAGTTTGCAGCCGGTGGACAGGTGGACTCGTTCGAACATATAAATGGCTGAGTTTCCGCTGCTTGCATGAACCCACGGAGCTCCTCACTATGGAAGGTTTCACCCGTCCTGTAGCCATGAGCGGCATCTCGGCTGTTTGTGACTGTACAGCGGCTTGGCATTTCACGCACAATATTTGGACAAAGCCATGCTGAATTTCACGCAATACGCAGCGTTTCCAAACCGTCAGCAGTAATAGCAGCCAATGCGTGCCTGC